TTGTTTCTTTCTAATCACTTTATTAAAGTCATCCTTGAAGGCCATCACGTTTCCAGTAACTTCTAGGGTACCTCAAAGTTCTTTCCTCGGTCCTGTTTTGTTTCTTATCTACATTAATGATCTTCCCAGTAGCCTTACATCTAAAGTAGCTCTTTTTACTGATGACTCAACTTTGTACTCCTGTCTTGACAAAAAATCCTCTCTTTTTATTCACTTAGAACAGGCAGCCAATCTTGAATCTGATCTCATTTCTGTAACAGGTTGGGGCTCACAGTGGCTTGTAAATTTCAACTATACCAAAACTCAGTTATTTACTGCAAACAGCTATTGCAGTACTGTCGACATTACTAATCCTCTTCTTTATGTCTTCTTGGATTACCGTTTACTGCTGACCTTTCATGGAAACCATATATATAATTGATTGCTAAATTAGCATCTGCTAAGGTTGCTTCTCTTTATTGTGCTCACCATTTCCTTTCTTCTGATTCCATTCTCTACCTTTACAAATCCTTATTTGTCCCTGTATGGAATACTGTTGTCATATTTGGACTGGTTTTTCTTATGATGCTTTTTCTCTCTAGACATGGTCAAAAAACGCATTGTAAACGTATTTGGACCTGCTCTATGTGTTAAGCTTGAGCCTTTTCCCCATCGTTGTAAAGTTGCATCTCTATCTCTTTTCTACAAATACTGTCACGGTAGCTGCTCACGGGAGCTATTATCTCTAACTCCATAAACTAAAACTCATTGTCGCTTGACTCGTCATTCAACAAAGTCTCATTCTTTTAATGTATCTGTCCCTACATGCTTTAAAAACTTTAACTTTTCTAGTTTTTTTCTCTGCACCTCAACTTTTTGGAATCTTCCATCTTCATGCTTTCTTGACTCATGCAATCTTCAATTTTTTAAGCCTTCTGCCAAACATTTCCTTGCTATATAACTCTATTCTTTTTTTCTACTTTTCCTTGCTCTATAACTCTATTCTTTCTTTTATTCCCAACTTAATAATGGTTGCTTGCAGCATTGTTAGGAGTGATTCAGAAGAAAAAAAAAAGTAAAGAGCCAAAACTTTATCCTAACTAAAAACCAAAGCAGAGCAGAAAATAAAGGTAAATCATCTAAAATTGATCACTTTATACCTTTTACTTGAGAAAACTTTTTTTTTTTAATTTCAATTTGGTTCAAATCCAAGGGCATCCTTGACTTGACTACTGACAAGAATTTTTTTTTTTTTAATTGCACCCCAACTTCACTTTTGCAGAAAAACATGTTGAATGTGGTAATTCCAGAAATAAACAGGGGCTAAGTCAGGCAGAATCAAAACTTGAATTGAAAAAAAAAAAGTTTTAAAAAAGTTGGGAGGGGGGAAGCCTATTACACCTCCGCCCCCTGTTCCTACACCAGTGTTTAAAATTATATGGTAAATATTCATCCCATAAGAATATTTGCATCAAAGTTTGTAGTAAAGTATATAAATATTAAGAATGCCATAGAAATGAATAATTCATGAAAAACAAGAAAATACTTAAAAACTTTAAAACCATTTCCCAAAACTGCCCTTACTCCAATCGGTCTAAAATTTTCAGAATAGCCTTAAATTGGTATGTACAACAAATCCCAAAGTGAGTCAATATGATCTGAGAAAAAAAGTATATTTTGGTAGTGACTTATTATTCTACTATATTACTACATATTATTAAACTATATTATATTATTATACTATGTTATAATTCTAATATATTACTATAATACTATATCTACTTATATCTGCTTATTTCTACGTAACATTTGTCAGACCAGCAATAGAATTTGTGGTACCCATCTAAAAACTTATATCTGCTTATTTCTACTATATGTAACATTTGTCAGACCAGCAATAGAATTTTTGGTACTAATCCAAAAAAAGTTGAAAAATGGTTTTTTATTAAAGGAATAAAAATCAAACAGCATTAAGACTACTACCAGCCTTAAAAAAGATTTCATACAAAGAAAGATTAGAAAAACTAAACATAATAAGTTTTAAAAAAAGAAGAAAAATAGTAATTTGATTTAACTTTCTATTATTTTTAATGACTATTTTATGATTTTAATGAAAATGTAAAACTGATAAACAAATCTTTCAGTGGTTTGGTGTCATTCATACAGTTATTAACTAGCTATTGGAATCACACCTTAATAGAATAAACAGATAAAACAAAAAACAAACAACAAAAGGCAATAAAATAAATAGTAAACTAAAAAAAAAAATCAATAAAAAGATGAACAATAATATTTAAATAAACAAGACACAAAAAAAAGAAAGAGTGAATAAACTGACATAAGAGATAATGAATGAATGAGATAACACAACGCTAAAACCAGTAGAATGATAGAAAATGAAAAAGAAAACTATATGATATATTTTAAAATGAGACATAAATATGAAATCATTAGAACAATAACAACAATTATGAAAAAAAAAAACATTTGTAACTTGTAATTATAATTTGTAGCAACACCACAAAAAAAAAATACAAAACAATATAAACAATACACAGAAATACACGATAATATAAACAATTATAAATATAATAATAAATGGTCAAGTCGTTAGCTTGCAGAGTTTCTGAAGCAAAGCCCTGTGGTTCAAATCCTACCGCTGGTGCCTATTTTTTTTTAATCTTTTTTGAATTTACTAAAATACAAACTTTTGAAGTTTTTCAGATATTATATACATAACATATATAAAGATATTATATACTATAAAAAAGAAAAAGAAGAAAATTTTTAAAAAAACTTGAAATTTCTAAAAATATCAAAACACTGGTAGAAATTTTTTTTATGTATGTCATGATAGAGACATGCGAAAAATTTGTTTTACATATACCATACTTATGTTGCTAATGTGCTAAGGTAATGAGTTCTAATAAGAACTCATTACCTTAGCACATTAGCATCTGGTCTGAAAAATATTTCTGAAACTTAATGAAGAAAAAATTTCATAAGAAAGTCTTTCTACTCCAGAAGTAGAAAAACTGTCTTATGAAATTTTTTATTTTAAAAGTCTATTTTGCTATATTTATTTTTTTGCTATAAATATATGCAGCCAGATTGAAAAAATTTAAAATATATTGTATTAAGAGGCGGATTTGAACCCTTGAAAAATGATACAGATGACAGCGCATTAAACAATTGATCAATTTAAATTATGCATGTAGTTAAAAAATAAACCATTTTATAAATCTCTTATTATACCAATTGCAATAAATCAACACTTTTCAAGCGGGTTCTTTAAATAAAATCAGCTTTATTGTATAGCATCTAATATAACAACAAACAAAGATGTTACATACAGAAGTAAAAAATCCACTTATATCATATTTTATAGAAGATCGTGTAAGAAAACCTATAAGAAAAATTAATAACATAAAAAGAAATAATATAAGAAAACTTTTCAAACAATTATTTTTTTGTATAAATTGTTTTGTTTTGAATTTTTGTACCTATGTTATTGTATTTAAAAAAATTGACAAGATTGAAAAAATACAAAATATATAGTCTAATCATATAGAAATTTTGAAGATTTTACATTTGACCCTCTCTTGATAATTTCTGATTGATAAAATTATGTCATCTTAGTTCTGCCATTTGCATAGAGTTACGGTCAAACATATGTAAGTGTAAACTTTAGCATATGTTGCTCTTGCAGGGGGTATATAGAACAATAAAAAATTTTAGAAACGACACTGATGACAGCACACTAAACTGAGTTATTGATGATATGCGTTTGAGAGAAAAACAAACTTAATTTTAAATCTCTTATAAGCTCTATGTATGTGGAAAAGGTGCGTGTGTTAATTTTTGTTGTTCTTAAAGCAGTTTTTCAGAATAAATTATTTTACTAAAAAATATTGAGGTAAATAAAGAAAAGGTATAGAAATGATTGATGTGGAGTAGATATGTATAAAAATGGTCCGTTTGGTAAAAAATTTTATGGGTCTGGGCGACTAGGTTATATATGTAAAGTATAGAAAAGGTCAGTGTGGAATAGACTTACAAAGACCCATATTTTTATGGGTCTGGTCAGCTAATCATTAATATTTTCATTGTTTTCACTTCATTAGTCTTTTAAATCATCTAAAAAAATTTTTTTTGTTTTTCTTTTCCTCATTTACCTCTTTTTCTCCTTTTCCCTGTCAGAAAAAACTACTATGCCCAATACAACTAAAAGTTCAGTAAAACTTCATTCAACTAAAAGTTTATTTATTTATATTATTTATTTAATGTATTTTTAAAAAGTATTTACGATACTTCATTGTTTTTTTTAAAAGTATTTACGATACTTCATTGTATTCAAGTCCTTCAGTTTTAAAAGAACTAAAAAAAAAAATTAAATTACCATTTTGACAGACCTTTTTGTAACCCCAAATTATATACCTTAATCATTCAATTTGCATGTAGTTATGGTACTATAAAAAAATTTTTAAAATGAACTTGCTATTTGGAAGACTGTCTATGTACTAAACTTCAGGTTGATACCTCATCGTATTTATTAAATATTGCAACTTAATGAAAAAAATCAAAAATATTTGAGAGTTAGCATAAATCCGCAAATTGTTATCTGAATACTTGGTTTTTTTGGGACATAAAATGTTTTAACATAAAATTATTAAAATGCAGCTCATAGGGTGACATTCTTTGCTTTTTCTCCTGATTTGACATGATTTGAGGGATGTCGTCTATAATAATTAAAAATTTTGCTTTTGCCAAACTTTGCAATTTGTTAATTAAAATTAATTCGATTCTCTTTGTTTTCAATTTAATCTTCTATTTACTTAAGAAGTATTTTATACTATATACAATTTTTATATTAACCATAGTCTTTGCAAAACTTTAAACTTAAGCTACTTTGCTAGATTTGTTATAGTAAATATTAATTGTTAAGTAAAAAAAAACTTTATCATTCAAAATTTATAAATGAATTTTAGTTTCAAGTTCATCACTAATTTTAATTTTATTACTTTTTTTAATAGCAGTTCTTGCAGTTAACCTGTCATCAACTAGCAAAATAAGACCAGATAAAGATTCAGAGTACAATGTCATTGCTGTCTGAAGACGCTGAGGTTGCAGTACCATATTATTTCTAAAAAATGAAACAATGAATGAAATTTTAGCAGGATACTACTTTGATAAAAATCAAAAAAATACAAAAATTTCTAATTATAATGAATAATAAGAGGTTGCAGATTTACCCAATAAACGAGGTCTTACATTGACAGTAGTCCATTACATCACGACAGACTAATCGAATATTATGCATACTTTTTATTTGATTTCCTATATAAAACAATTTATTAACATAAAAGTGCAAAAAAATAAATAAAAAAAGAAATATAAAAAAAAAATTTAAAAAGTAAAAAAAACAAACTGCTTTTAAGTTAAAAAACATTATTTATTAATAACTACAAAATTATTATTATATAAATTATAAAAATAAGATAAAGAATATAAATTCTTAAATAAAGAATAATATAAAATTATGAATGCTAAGATTTTATATAAAAACACACAAAAATTTCAGAACAGTTAAAAACTTAAAAATAAAAACGCATTATACAAATGTTATAACTAAAAGCAAAATTTATATTTATATTTAAATTTTTTACAAAATTTACAATTATAAGCAAAAACTAAATTAAAATAGTAAAATAAGTAAACAAAAACTTAAGTATTATATAAGTATATATACTTATAAATAATTAATATTCTAGATTATATATATACATATATGTAAAATAAGTATTATATAAATATATTTAATATAATATTATTTATATGTATATAATACTAAGTAATAAGTATATAAATAGTAAGTATGTAGTGTATTTAAGTATTAACACATGCAACTGTTGTAACTTAGCTAAATTTTTCAGTTTTGAAAACACAAGAAACTGTTGCAAGTTTTTCATTATTGTCAATTCTATCATTCTATCTCCTGATATTTAGTTCTATCATTCTGTCTCCTAATATTTAATTATATCGTTCTATCCTAATATTTAATTCTATCATTTTATCTTCTGATATTTAATTCTATCATTCTATCTCCTGATATTTAATTCTTTCATTCTATCTCCTGATATTTAATTCTGTCATTCTATCTCCTGATATTTAATTCTATCATTTTTGTCTCCTGATATTTAATTCTATCATTCTATCTCCTGATATTTAATTCTAGCATTCTATCCCCTGATATTTAATTCTATCATTCTATCTCCTAATATTTAATGCACAAATACAATCATTTTAATCATTTTTGTTCCAATTAAAAACTTTATAAACAGCAAGTTCATTTTTCTTGTTTAAACTACTTTATTTAGATTTTTTCTCAATCTTATCTTAATGCCTCAAGTTTTCTTTTTGTCTTTGTGTTTTTTTTTATAATTTACTTCCAACAAGAATGCAAGCAAGTTAGTAAGAAAGACAGAAAGCAAAGAAAACCAAGAAAACAGTTAACACTATATTTAAACTTTAAATTGTATAAGCCCCAGGAAATTATAATGACGTGAGAGAATTCTAAAGCATTAATTTAGTTGTATCAGCCATTATCAAGAAAATCATTAGTATAGACAAGTAAATTATCAAAAAAATCATTAGTTAATCATTAAAATTATCAAGAAAATCATTAGTATAGACAAGTGACAACATTTTAATACTGTGGTTTAAAAAGTTTGAATAGTTTTTTCAATTCAGAATTTTAAAAGCTTATGAAAAACTTAAGAAATCTTATGGAAAAGACTTTATTGAAACACTTTTGCATATCGATAGCAGTAGCATTTGGTTCACCACTTCTACTTCTAATGCAAGTTCCATCCTGTTATTATGGTTAACAAGTTAGAACAAGAAATAAAAATCCATTTTCATTTTCAAGTAGGCAAGAAAAAAACATTCAGTTAAGCACTTTTTAAACAGTTCCAGATTGTTTAGAAAGTTCTGGAGAACACTCAGAGTACTTTAAGAACACTTCAAGAAAACACTTGTGTAGGACTGTGACAGGGATGTTGTCTGGACTACAAGCTGTAGAAAGATTCGAGTAGGAAAAAACTTTAGCAATAAAAATAACTTTTTATTTTTGGTAGAACAAGCAAAGAGCCAATCACTTGATTGCTTTAAAGACTTTTGTACCCTGTGGGGTAAAAATCATATTTTCTAACTAAATCCTCCCTTGCATGTTTTCAAAGTTCAGTTTAATCTGCAACCTTTCTCATTTTTAAAATATTTTACTTTCAATCCTATTATAAATAACATGGTATTAAAAAAAAACTTATAAGTATATAAATATATATTAAAATATATTAATATCATGCAGATCTCTAAAATGTTTAAGTAAAAGTTTATAATTTTGTTTTTTTAAAGTTTCAATAATGGCAGATCATAAGATGACAATTATCACATTTTAATTGTTTTAGTAACTAAAACATTATGTTAAATAAAATAAAAATATTTATATTTTCATTTTATTTAACATAATGTTTTAGTTTATATTTATTCAGGTCTATTAGAATAATTAAAAAGTAAATAAATTTGAATAGTAAACATCACAATAAATTTGAATAGTAAATATCACAATAAATTTGAATAATAAATATCACAATAAATTTGAATAATAAATATCACAATAAAATTCGAATAAAAAATACAATTTCTCACAAAACTAATTTTAAAAAATATATAATTTCTAAGTTATGACAATGTTGAGCAATATTCTAAAATTTTAAAAATTAGAAAAAATATAGTTTTTATAATTACTAGTACAGTTAAAGTCAAAAGTCATAAACAAATAAATAAATAAAAATGAATGCATAAAGAAATGTCTTTAAAAAGTTTTTATGTAAAATTCCATCAAAAGCATCTTAATTAAGCATCTTAGTAATTACAGTTTTTAAATTAAATTTTAACCCATTAAATTGAGACTTTAACCCATTAAATTGAGAGTAAAAATTGAAACCATTAAATTGAGACTTTAACCCATTGGGCTTTGTTGATATTGGGGGACAAATGTAAACAACATTAAATATAACAGCTTTAAATATAACTTCCTAAAGCTTTATTTAACATGAAGTTACATAGAAGGAAGCTTCATTTAACAGAGATGGATTCTTTTTTTGAAATATTAAAAGAGAAGTTACAAAATAACACTAAACTAATAGGGTGTGTAATAAAACGAATAGGGTGTGTAAATTTTTTAAAATGTATTTTTTCAAATTTGGAAAAAAGAGTAGGAAAAAAAAAATTATTTTTGTCACTTTTTAAAAAATGTGATACTTGTAAAAATAATATTAGTTCAGTGTTAGCTTGGTAAATTTTGATTTTAATTCCACTTATTGTGGTTATTGACAATAATTTGCTAGTAGAGATTTTTTTTTCAAAAATTATTACTTCATAATCAGACTAAAAAGAAAGCCTCTGTAAAAATTTTGTTTATTGAGTTATCTTGTAGGGACTGAAAAAGAAATTTATACATCTGTGCTTCTAACAGCTAAAGATATTCTAAGATAAGGTACGTTTCTAAGAAAAATTAATGTAAAAAATATAAGAAACTAAACTGTAGATCAGCTAGTAACTGATACGTTAACTGCTTTACTTGGTCAACGGTTGAAAGCAAATGCACTTTTTACATATGCTGTTCTAATTCATAAAAAAACAGTTTATCAAAAACTTATGTATTAATGGCTACTGATGTTAGTATTGGACATGGAAAAAAAGCTGAATAAGAAAGACTTAAATTAAAATTAGACAAGCTTGTGGATATATATATATATATATATATATATATATATATATATATATATATATATATATATATATATATATATATATATATATATATATATATATATATATATATATATATATATATATATATATATATATATAATCTGCCACTTTATGCACAATCAGAATCTGTATCGATTTTCCAACCAATGGTATTTTAATAATTTTATATTAAAATGCCATTGGTTAGAAAATAAATAATCTAAACTTTATACATTATTTGAAATTTTTTTGAGAAATTGTTTATATACAGACAGATAGTGAAATCTTCATTAACAGAATAATAGAGATAATTAGATTTAGGGATAAACAGATTCTATCTGTTGATCAGCCTCGCACCCCTTCTTCATCTATTAGGCTAGCGCAGATGTATTTTTAATACAATGTTTCCAGTTTAGAATATTGAATGGTGGATTTTCTTGACTCAATGAATGGGTTTTGCTAGTGTATCTGATTTTATGACTAGGCAACTCATTCTATTATCTCCTAATGAGGGTACAGTTCTAAAACTCAGTTTTATGGTTCTGAGGCCGGCTGGTTTCCCGAACTCTGTGGCAGCTCTCAGAGAGGCTGATTTCATCTAAAGCTGAAAAATATCAAAGTATTAACAGTGCCATGTTGCACATGGATGGTGTCCCTGTTTGTACCTTTGGTGTGCATTGTTGCATTTGAAGCCCTTTGGTACGGCTTAGGGTTAATTAATAGTAATGAGGCAATTGCTTGGGCTATTAAATAGTGTACTGAGTACTATCTACGCTTTGAGTCAAGTTCTTTAATAAATTTAAAAATAAAGAAAGTAGCAAAAACTATAAAACACAAAAAACCAATGTGTTTCCGTTTAGTATCACTACACTCTATCGTCTTTCTCTTTGTTCTATATTGCTCTCCTTCATCTCAAGACTGCACTCTTTTTGACATAACTTCGTGGATTCAGGCTGACATGGAATCTTCTATTTCCTTTTGACAATTCCAGGTCAAGCAACATTCTTCTCCATGGTTTTCCTCACACTGTGCTGCTGCAATTGCCAATCGAAACCATTACTTCCATATCTATCAGCAAAATAATTTTCTAGAAAACAGACTTCTGTTTATTACTGCTAGAAACCATTGTAAAAAGGTTTTGTCTAACGCCAAAGCTCACTATTCTCAGGTCATGAAATCTCGTATCTAATCGCAAAGGTTAGGCTCTTGTAATTTTTAGAGAATCTTTAACAGTATCAATAATAAGGGCAAATCTGTTATTCCACCTATCTTGTATGGTTCAGACTTTGTCACCTCACCTAAAGACAAAGGTCAATCGTTTGCGAAGAGCTTTTCATCAATATCATCTTTTGATTCTACTAGTTGCGTTTTACCTGATTTAGCCATCAAGCAGGTTGATCAATTGCTTGACATTTGCATCACTCCAGCTTCTGTATCTAAAGTGATTTCCTGCTTAGACTCTTTAACAGCTTGTGGCCTGGACAAGATAGCTGTTATAGTCTTGCAGAAGTGTTCTCCAGAGC